ATCTTTGAAAATATAGAGTTACTAACAAGGAACGAAATTGAATGACTATTAAAATCAGATCTTTCTATTCATAGTTTTCTGGGGTACTGAAATCTGTAAAAGAGAGGTTGTACAAGTAGTGTAGTTACCTGCCTTTGTTACATAAATAACTTCCAGTTTATCTCTAGTCTAGTTTAGCAAAATTCTTGTCCGGTTATCATTGGAGTAAATCAATATTATAAATTCCTTTTGATATCCTTTTATAATCACATTTATAGTAACATCTCCAAAGACTGGACTGCTCAAAGAAAATAGTGCTCTAGTTAATATCTCTGTAAGTGAAAGTTAAAAATCCATTTATGTTTATTTTTGTTGAAAGTCAGTGAGAATATCTCTTTGCCTTTGAGTCATCTTTTGGAGTATCAAGAATATCGATTATGACTCTAGCTACAGTTTTTAGAATATGTAAGAAAGTTGGTTTCATATAGTTTCATGTGTACCCTAGCACAGGGCCAGTAAACTCTTTGGAATTTACTCTAGCTCATTTATTAGTGTGTTTTCTTATAGATGCCTTTTAGAAAAAGCTAAGTACATAAATACAATATATAATGTTTTAATAATTCTAATATATTTAATATTAATGTTTCTAATATGTTTATTGAATAGAATGAGATCTGTTAATTTACTATATGAGGGTACTTCAAAAAGTTCATGGAAAGACTCATTATCTTTTAATTCCATTTTCCACGAACTTTTTGAAATACCCTCATATTTATTGAGCCTCTACTGTGTACTCGATAATCATGCTTATAAAAAATCAAATAGAAATTAGGAAGATAGTAGTATAGCTAATTTGTATGAACTCATTATATGAGGGTACTTCAAAAAGTTCATGGAAAGAATTGTATTATCTTTCATTCTATTTTTCCACGAACTTTTTGAAGTATCCTCATATTTGGAAAATATCCTTTTAAAAATCCTTACCTACAAAGATACTATTTATCTTTGTACTCAAAATATGAGAATGACTTTATCAAAATTAGATTTGTTAAGCGAGCCGTTATTTATCTCCCATACTTACCTAGGGACTGTTTTCCTAATGCCTCCCCTTCAGTTCTCACAGAAAAACTGGAGTCTGTTTGCCCTTTTTTTTGTTTGTTTGTTTGTTTGCTTTTTTATTCTTAAAATAAGAACTACACTAAGTTTCTTGTCAAATTGGGGAGGTCAGAGGAAATTTCTTTAAGAACAACAACAAACCTGTAAAACACCTGAATTATTTTTTGAAATGTCAAACCCCAGAGCATCTGTCATTTTTAAACTGCTTTCATGAAAGAAAACAGTCTGATGAACACTAATATTTCAGACTCTTATCTTCTAGTTCAAGTTATAATTCTAGAAATGTCATCTAAATAGAATTTGGCTTATGAAAATAATTCGTATGTATTTGTTTGATTGATTGACTTAGGCATCCAGGAATGTGATGACACATTACTTATAATGATATATTTTTGCTTCTCCTTTGTAAAATTCCATTGCAAAAAGACCATCAATTTTAAGTGAAAATAGTTTTAATTCTCAGTCACTGGTGTTAAGTAGGTGGATTTATAGAGGACAACAGCATATCATATATTAGCTCTGTTACCACATTAATTCTCTTCTAACCCTGGGCCATTGGCCTCTATTCAGAGGGTTAGGGAATCTTGGAAACCCAAGAAAAATTACATTAAAAGAAGATGACATTTCCTTCTGTTATGGTTCCGGTCAACCAGGTAAAATGAGATTTGAAATATTTCAGTAAAATAAAGTTTATCAAAGTCAGGTATGAAAAGTCCTCCATGAATTGAAGTAAATCAGAGTATGTCATTACAATATATCTGTGGTTACTGTTGCTAGAAAATAGTTACTTTTGCTATAATTTAGAATACCCGAGTTTTAAATGTTCAATTATGCTGCTTAAAGTAATGGAAGACGTGTTAGAGGAGCTGCCTGTAATTTGAGGTGAGGTGCCTCTTGTTATCTAGGGCCATGGAACAAAAGGGAGAAAAAGAAACCTATTGAATATTATGTTGAGGGAGGAGCAATGGAAATTGTTCAATGAACTGTTCTGATTATCTATTGTATACAAGGTACTCTGTTAGTTTAGGTAGTAGAGAATGTATAAGATTAGAATCCTGCTTTCTAGCTCCTTTCCAATTCATTGCAGAGGCTCTGACATTTTTTAAGTTAAGAATAAAGAACAAAATCATGTTCAATAATTAGAACAAATAGTTATTTTTAAGTGTTTTCAGAAAGAAGGAGAAATAAAGAGAAAAACTTGACAAAGAGCTTAATAGAATGACAGAAAGGAGGAAGCAAGTGTCTCAAACAGGCAGATTAAGATGTAAGAGTATTCTTTTCCTTGGATTGCCTCTAAAGATGATCAAGACAGTTTTGCATGTTTTCAGCTGTAGGCACAAATGTAGTGTGTATTTCTAAGTTTTTATTCCACATAGGATATAGGAAACAATTTCCATAATTCCTGAATTAACTCAAATATGTTGGTTGATTTCTAGTTACCTTCCTTAGAGTTGGGAGACAGGTGTATTTCTCCAAACTAAAATATCAGGTCCACAAGGGCAGGGTTGTTTGTCTATTATGGTATTTCAAGTACCTGGAACAGTGCCTGGCACGTTGTAGACTGTCAGTAAAAACTTTTGAATTAATTAAGCTTTAGAAATATGAGTACCCTTAAGTCTAGTAGTCAGCTGTTAACTTTGGTGCCCATACCTATAATATATATTTTTTCTTATTAAATATTACATAGTAAGTAGGGGAAGCATCAAAGATGATTCTTAGATTTTGAGCCTGGAAGTCTGGGAAGATGATAGGGCTTTGACTGAAATAGGAACTATAGGAAGAGTAATAGATTTAAGAAGGAGTATGATAAGTTTGGTTTTGGAAATACTGAGTTTGAGGTGCCAACTTTGATTCAGCTAACCAAAGATGTGGGTGAGTGGTTAGGCTCAGGGTGTCTTTTACGTATAGGTGATAGTTGAAGCCTGATTATAGATAAAATTGTTCGTAGCAATGATGGCCGCTATTCATTGCCAGGCACCACACTTTATATATCGATATATATGAGCATGCTTCAAAAAGTACATGGAAAAATAGAATTAAAAGATATGAATCTTTCCATGAACTTTTTGAAGTACCCTTGTATATATTGTGCTTTATATATTGATATTTATGTGTTGATCTCATTTCATCCTCATAACAATCTTGTTAAATAGGTACTACTGTTTCCCATTTCATAGTTTAAAACACCGAGATTTAGCAAGGAAAGGTACCTTTCCCAGGGTCACGTAGTTGGTAAGTAGTAAAGCTAGGTTTTGAGTGTAGATCTTATTCCAGAGTGATCAGCTGGTGACTAGTAATACAGAAATGGACAGGAAAATGAGGACTGAACAAAGTGCATTGAGTACAGTTTCTAGAAATCATTGGTAACCTTCAAGAGAACTGTTATTACAGTTTTAATGTAGGGATAGAGAATAGATTGCAGGGACTTAAGGAATAAATGAATGGAAAATTTTATAAAAATGGAAGTAGTGAGTTAATGTATTTTTTTCAAGAAGTTTAGTGATAAAGGGAAAAGAAGAAACAGGACAAAGCAAATTTGCAAGACCAGAGAATCTGAGAGAGTTTTGGAATTTTATTATGATTTTTAATTGGTTTTAGGAATTCATTCATGCATGTATGCATTCATTTATTTCAACAAGTATTTATTGAGTGCCTATTCTGTGACAGGTATAGCTGGCAACAAAATAAGGTTCCTATTGTTGTGGAACTTAATTTTAATGGAGGCAGGGGTAAACGTCAAGAAACACATTAAATAAATAAGCAAATAAATAAGAGAAATATCAACATTGATAAATACTATGCAAAGAATTAAAAATAGCTTATAACATGAAAGATATCTGCGTGGAAATTTTAGATTGTGTGATAGAAAAGGCAGGCCTATCTTAGAGATGCTCTCTGAGAATCTGAAAGACAAAATTGCAGCCAGTAAGTAGGAAGTGAGTTCCAGGCAGTGACAATAGATAATGCCAAAGCCTCAAGGTGGGAAGAAGCTTGACGTATTGGAAGGAGGCTAATGAGCTAAGGGGAAGGTGTTATGGGATCAGAGAGGTAGGCAGGCATCAGGTCATAATGGGGTTTTGTCATTGGGTGTACGGGGTATATATTTTTATTCTAAGTGCAATGGGAAGCAACAGTTAGAGAGTAGTAAGTAGGGAATTACACCTGATCTGATTTACTGTACATCTTGATAGGAGAACCCTGGTTGCTGTGTGGACAGTGCATTTTGGGGGAGGAGTGAATAAGTAAATGCAGGAAAACAGTTAAGGTTTTTACTTTTATTCACATAAGAGATCATGGTGGCTTGGACTGGAGTCATAATAGTAATAGAAATGCTGAGAACTGATTAGATATGGGATATGTTTGGAGGAGGAACATGATGGTGGATTAGATGTAGGGTTTAAGTCAAAGAGGAATCACAATGACTCCTGCATTTGGGGCTTGAACAACTGTGTCAATGAATGGTTTTGCCATCTATTTAAATGGGCAATATGAGATGGAGTCCTGAGCATGATTACAGATTGAAGTAAGGATCCATCAGAAGGAGCAATATTGAAATTTCCAAAGGAAGTAATTCATGATGTAGCAAGGTACCAGGGGAGGTAGGTACACAAGAGGGAAATGATTGAGATATGTGTAGGAGCTAGCCTTAAAAAAAATAGAGGGAAGGAGATGAAAGACAGAAATTTCAAGAGGGAAAGGAAGAAAGTTGAAAAACATATATTAGGTTACTTTGATCTTTAAGTGTATTTGATTGTGAACAACAATCTACTAATTGTTTTGTATTCTTCATATTAACTTTCTAAATACTTTAACCTTAATTATGTTTATCATTATATAACCTATTACTTAGTATGTATATGTATGTTTGTGTGTGTACATGCATATAATATATATATTTTTTACAGGTTGTAAGTTCTACAAATGGAGAGTTAAACACAGATGACCCTACTGCAGGACGTTCAAATGCACCCATCACAGCCCCTACAGAAGTAGAAGTGATGGATGAAACCAAGTATGTATCTTTTTTTTTTTTTGCTTATTTTTGTTCTTAAACTATGCATGCTTGAGACTTATAGCCACATAAAATTATTTCAGGAAAATTTTTCTGGAAATAGCTGCATGCAAAACAAGTTGTATGCTTAATTATTTTAATCACTAAGTTTAAAATATTGCTATTCCAGTAAGTATTTTAATAATGTGGAAAAAGTTATTTAAGAACTGTGTTCAAATTCTTATTTAGAATTAACAGCATATTTTTAGCTTTTGATTTTTAGGAGTGTTGATGCATGAAAATTATTGCCATACTATCAATGATCATTTTTTTCTATAAGCATAAAAATCAATGATTATTTTATAGAATGATGCATGCATTAATATTAGTTTTAAATTAGTTTTTAAAATGTAAATTATAATAACATTGCTTGGAAAAAATTAAGCATGAAAAACAATGTGATAATTTCAATGTGGGCTGTTTCTGATGATATCTCTTTCTCTCTTTTTTTTCCTTATATTTTTTTTTTGTGTGTAGCTGCCAGAAAGTGTTGAACATGTGGTGAGTTTTCAAGTGTAGGCAGGCAGAAATAGCTCCGTTGACTGTGATTTCAAAGATTTAGCACTGTTTTGTGTTTTTTATAAATAAACCTCGCAACATAGAAATTATAATTGGTAAAAGTTATTCAAAAGTATTTGATGTCATTAATATTAGCTCTGAAAAGCAAGAAATAATTGAGGAGCTCTTTTGCCTGCTGCAACTTTTTTTGCTTCAAGCGACGTAGATTTGGGGCCATTTATTAATTGTGTAGATGATACGCCAACCCCGCTTCTGTTTGTGCGTTTGTTTTGTAATACAGAGTTTTTATTTGCTATTTTAAATAGAAAGATAGGTTTTTGAATAAGCATTCTTTTTACCTGCATGTAATTGTTAACTACATATAGCAGATCCCCTTGCCCCCTAGTAGTACCACTAAAACATTTCATTTTACTAACCAATTGTCATTGCCACTGACTATAATATTGATAAATTTTAAAGTATAATGAGAGTAATTTTAAAAACCTTCATCTAAATAGTTTCTGATAATTACAGATGATGAAAAATAACATTCTTGGGCCGGCCCGGTGGCGCACTGGATAAGTGCGCCGCTTGGGAAGCGTGACGGCGCTCCCGCCCGAGGGTTCGGATCCCACATACAGACCAGTTCCCGCTCACTGGCTGAGCGAGGCGCGGGAGCAGCACCGAGGGTTGCAATCCCGTTGCCGGTCCCCGGTCCGGTACGGGGGCAACACTGAGGGTTGCGATCCGTTGCCGGACACGGAAAAAGACAAAAGACAAAAAAAAAAAAGAAAAGAAAAAAGAAAAATAACATTCTTATTAGTGAAAATACTATTCAATTTAAAGTATTTTCTGACATTTGCCTTTAGTTGTAGTACTATATTTTAAGTGCTTCTCTCAGTTTCAGGAAAAATTTTGACTCAGCTTTGGAGTGAGTAAAGGAAGTTGCTTAGACTAGTAAATTTTGGAACATTTTGCTCATCTCCAAAAGAAACCTTATATAATTTCCAAAATAATGCTCGTTTGCTGGCTGCAAAATGAGGAAACTTGCAGATTTTTTTTTTTTAAATGAACAGTGATCAAATATTCATTTTAATCAGTTTTGACTATGGAATATATTGACCGTGTGACTAAGTTTAGTGTATTTCAGGGTATAATTAGCTATATAATTGTATGGTTTTAAATCAGAAATAAAAACAATGGCTTATGCTTGTTTCTGAATTTTAAGTATAATCCTAAGCACAGTTGTGAACATAGGGTGGCAGTGTAGCAGATTAGAATGCACATATCCTTTGCAGTTCAGCATAGGTTGTAGAATCCTATTTCTGCCACTTACTTGTTACCTTCTTCAAGCTTGTTTCTTTCTGTAAATTAAGGCTAACAATATCTTCCTTGTAGGGTGCTGAGAAAATTAAATGTGATAAAGCTCTGGTATTTTGTCTGGCACATGGCAGGTACTCAATAGCCATTATCACCCCTATTTATTTCTCCACTTCTAGCTGACGTTGACCTTTCTCATCTGTGTTCTTCCTAGGCCTGTGCTTCTTCTACGAGTTGTTCTATATTTTTACTTCCATACCCACACTCTTCACTAAAACTGGTTGTTTTGTGTTTACATCCTCCTAGAAACCTGCTTTCAGAAAATCTATTACATTTATCTGTTTATTAATTCAATAATTACACAGCTGAGATTTCAGAAATACCTGACGCTGTTTTTGCTCTTAAATAGATTACAAACCAGCAGGGAATATTGCAGTTGTAGTAGCATATGTCAGTATATTAATACTATGAAAAAGGCATAAAAAACTTAGTTTGTAAAGAAAAAGATTACTTCCTGACCTGGATAATCAAGAATACTTTATGGAAGTAGCTTCGGAGAATGGCATAGTAATTAATTAGTTGGGATTGGTGTGGGTGTATATCTTTACGGATTTGGGTCTCTATCTGTAGACATTGGAGGTTGAAAAGGAGGAAGTGGTGGGAAAGAAAGGTTCTCCTTCGCTTGGAGCATCATGTCCAGATTTCTTGGCATAGCACCAAAGCCCTTCATTCCTTTCGTAGTCTAGCCCCTGCCTCTCTTTCCCAGCAACATTTCCGTTCTGAACCCTATGTTCCATTGGTTCTTTAAGTCTGCCTTTGTTATGTTATTCTCTTTATGTATCATCCACTTTTTGAAACTTCTTGAATTTCTAGACAAGGCCTTTTCATTTTCAGATCCCCAGTGGCTAAAACAGTATGCCTCCATAAAATGTTACTAAATAAGTAATTAATTGAATAATGTGGTATACTCATACAGTGGACTATCATTCAACAATATAAAGAAATGAAATTGAAAACATTATGCTAGGTGAAAGAAGCCAGACACAAATAGCCACATATTATGTGATTCCATTTAAAAGAAATTTCCAGGATAGTCAAATATATAGGCACAGAAAGTACATTAATGATTGCTTAGGACAGGGAAGAGAAGGATAGGATTGACTGCTTATAGATAATGGGGTTTCTTTATGGAGTGAGGAAAATGTTTTGGGATTAGATAGTGGTGATAGCTATTGAACTCTGAATTTACTAAAAACCATTGAGTTGTACACTTTAAAAGTATGAATTTTATGATATGTGAATTCTATCTTAATAAAGTGGTTATTTAAAAAAAAGAATAGCCCAACCCATGACTTCGTGACTTTAATGAAGCTTTACTCCAAGGGAGTTACAGAAATCCTCAGAACTTCTCTACCTCTTCACTAGTTAAAAACTGTTCTTAAACACATATGGTTTTGTCTTTCCTTTAATTGGGTTTTTCCTAACATTTCTACATTATTGGGTTCCTCATATGCTCTTAGTTTCTGACCAGGAAATGTGAACATGATTTCCTTTTCTAAATTGCATCTTATGCTCCTCTCTGCCACCTTTTTACTGGTATCTAGGCACCAGTAGAATTCTCTTTCAGAATTCGTTTCCTTTCCATCTTTCTTCTTACCTATGATTTGCAGAGATCCCTCTCACCCCAATTGCATGTATTCTATGATGGACATTTTAGCATCCTCAAGTTTCCGAGGATTTAATTTCATTGAGGTAAATATATAATTTCCAAATGGTAGAAATTATTCTATTCCTCTCTATATAAGATGGCCTCTTTATTAGTAATGAGATTTTGTCTTATTTGTTTACTGTAGTTGAGAATTATATTTTAAGATAGAGAATACAAATGATAGCACCCTCATCATTCCTGCCAGTAATTTAAGAGAACAGGCTTCCTTTAGTTAGTTCAGTTATTTACTTTTTAAGCAGTATGAAGCCATCTTTTTTTCTTTCTTTCTCTTCCTTTTCTCTTCCAAAATTTTCTGAACTGATTATTGCATGTTTGACAATATGATGATTATGAAGATATGTTGAGGCTCATGTGCCATCAAGGGCGATAGGAAGTACACCAGTGACTTGTATACGATGGTTCTCATCCCTGGCTTCACATTGCAATCACCTGGGGAGTTTTAAAAATACATTAATACTTAGGCTACACTTTTAGAGTTTCTGATTTAACTAGTTGGTCTGTGGTGAGGTCTAGTTATTGGTATTTTTAAGAAGCTTCTAAGGTGATCCTAAGGAGCAACCAGAGTTGAGAGTCATTGGTCTAATACAAGGCATTATAGGTTTAGCACTATAGGGGAGGGATAAAATGTTATTGGAGCTCAGAGAATGGAGTATGTACTTGCAGCTGGGAAGATCAGAGAAGTCTTCATGGGTAAGGATACATTTGCATTAATTCTCATAATAAGCATGATTAGGCAAGGGAGATGGATGGAAGGAGTTAGGGAGAAGAGGCTGAATGACAGTATGGAGCAAGTTTGAGGAGTAACTCATGCTGGTATAAAGTATATGACTACATTAATGGAAACTGAGATAGACTAAGACCCCAGTCTCAAGGGGCCTTGGTAGCCAGGTAAATAAATTTAGACATTATTTTTCTCAGCACAAGAAAACAAGCTGTGGTTTTAAGCCAAGAAATATTATGATCATGTCGAACCTTAGGAAGATTAATTTGGGAGCAGTTACAAGGCTTATGTCACTTCCTGGAGTTCATCAGATTGCAGAAAATAGTTCAAAAATATCAATTAATTTTCCTAAGAAACTAGATGGAAATTTTATATTTTGGGTCAGTAGTCTGTAATGATTAAGCTGTTTAAAAAAAACATTTTAAAGTCATTTCTATTCATTTAGTTTCTCCCTAGTGTTCAGGACTTTGATATTCTCTAGAACTATAAAGATGAATAAAACATAATATGTTTCCTTAAGAGATCAGTTCAGTGAGGAAGAGAAAGCCATAACAATTATAGTTACAAAGTGATAAAGACTATATAACTTTTTTGGGAGAGGGTACTTGGGTTTTGGGGGCAAGGAAGAGCATGTGCAAAGACATGGGGATATGAAAGACCCATGTGGTATGTTCCAGGAAAGGCAAATAGATTTCTACTTTTACTCACTCCTTTTTCTTTTTCTGCCTGGCAAGGAAGCCTAATGGAGGATGAGACTGGGAGGAGAGTGGAAATAGGTTGGGAACCTAATTTTGAAGACTTAATGTCTCGGTCAGTGCAAGAACCATTGAAAAGGGCATAACTGTATTTATGATGGGGGCAGTTTGGATGTTAGATTGGAGAGAGGCAAGACTAAGACTGGGAGGTCAGTTAAAATGCTTTTAGCAAAAGTGGAGGCAAGTTGAAAAGTTTTGAATTAAGCCAGCCTGAGAAAATGGGAAAATTTTGGAAGTCATTTCACTCTTGAGGGACTAACTGGATGTGGATGGAGAGGAATAAATTGGAGATAAGGATGGATTTGCAGGTTTCTAGTTGGAGTAGTTATGTGTATGGTCTTCCTCTCTGATCTAAACTCTTCTTGCTTAACTAAACAGTTCCTCATGTTTTTAAATCAAGGAATACAGAGATATGAAATTATGTTTCAGGTATAAATTTTAATGGGAAAAATCCTTTGTTAAAGAATTAATGATTTAG